TAATTTCTTATCTGCATGTTTGGTTTGAATTAGAATTGCTTTGCTTATTGCTTAACTTGAACCTTCTTTGCCTTTGTGTCTTTCCAGTTTCCCAGAGTAACCATGCAGTAGTTTATTTCCTCTCCAAGAAGTCTATTCTGAGTAAATTTGTAATTAATGATGATAAAAGCTAATTATAATAGTTATTAGGAAAGTACAGACTAAATTATGGGTAAAATTATTTAGAATTATAACATGCTTTAAAATCTACAAGTGTACAGACTAGTGAAATTTGAAATGTTTGAGTGAAAATATGGTGGTATTTGATGATATCTTTGGCAGCTAACAGTTCCATGATAAAACTGTAACACTGCAGAAACCACAGCACAGGGAATTACTTTCACATCATGACATTTATGCTTTGGGGACTGAATCCAAAGCAGAGAATTAATGCACTCATTTCAGTTCTGTGTGACTTAACAGTATGAGGGTGGACTGCAACAATTCCACGAAACCCTAGGGCAAGCAGTTATCCCTTTATCGGTCAACATTCTAGTTGCCAGTCAAACCAGGAGTTCTTGTCAGGGGGAGAAAATCTGTGTTGCTTTGCTGAATCTCCAGCTTGGGTAGAGTGGTGTAGGATGGCTATTAAGTTCTTTTTCATGGTGTAAACAGCTACATTTATGTCACTATCTGATGGATTTGAGGTCAACAGAATTTTATGTGTAATGGTTAGACCATGCTATCTCTGAATCTTATTTATTTGTTTGTCTGAGGTGACCATGCCCTCCAACTGGCTTTTTCATGTGAAAAACACTTGCCTCAAGGAAATCACAGGGCATTACATAAAGAGAACAAGCAGAAAGCAAAAAATAAATGATTGAATTACTAAGTAATTTAGAGTAGAGCAAAACATTGCCAAACAATAAATCAACCACTATGCACCTACTGTTTTATACACACAGTCAAACAGAAACTGTACTACAAAGTTGAAACATTTTTCAGAGAACTGTTCAGAACAATTGAAGTTGACCACATGTTAAATAATAGAGATAGTTGAGGAAAACTGGTTTAGGTCTACTTATGTTTAATATTTGTTAAGTTAGGAACAAGTCTAAGGTGTTCAAAAGCTAAAAGGAATGATTAAATAAAAAGGTCTTAACTTTACTCTTAAGGAAACTTAGGCATGCTACAGTTCTTATTTGGTCTGGTAAATTGTTCCAGAGTGAGGGAACAATGACTGAAAAGGTGCAATTTCCACAGGAGTCAAGATTATCCTCAGAGACCCCTAACAATTCCTTGTTGTTGGGGTGGAGTGGAGTGTCCAGAGCGTATTAGTAATTAAGAAGTCTGCATCAACAACTTTACTCAAAGGGGATGTTTCTCTAGTTTGCCTTTCTTTTCTTTCTATGATGGCTTTGGACTTTTTACTGATGATCTCAGAGGACAATCGCTACCACAAAAGAAAAGTCTTGGCAGGTTAGTTGTCAGGTTGATTGTGGCTTGCTAGAAATCTATCTCATGAGCTCCCTTTTAAGACATGTGCCTCATGTAAAGTTATACATAGATATACATATAGAAAGTCTGTGTTTTGATTTTTCTGTTGTACAGTGCTTGATACGTAGAAGTAGAGTGCAATATGTATGAGATAGGGGAAAAAAAGAGACTATACTTTCATCCCTACAAGCCCATTTCGTGATTACTCACTCATCAGGGGATTTTATTGTGAAGAATATTCATAACCATCATCTATATAATTTACAAACTTGCATAAAGGCATGGTGGGAAATTCAATGCCTTGTTCAATTGCTACTCAGTAATGCTTCGTTTCTGAGGTGGCATGAGGACACATGTTCGTTACGTTTATTTAGCGATGATAACTCAGGTTGGTGGATGATAAGTAATTTTTCTTTGAGGCAGAGATTACATCTTTTGCTTGTGCTATTGTAGGGTGATCTTGATGAAAGGATGTGCCATAAAATGAAGTGGTCAATGTTCTTTTCTTTAAGGGTCCAGATGTGTTTGCTGAGTTCGGTAGAGTTTCTGTGTTTTGTGTGTTGGAATGATGTGGTGTGGTTTCTGTATCTAGTCTTGAAGTCATTTTCTGTAAGTCAGATGTACATTTCAGTGTGCTGTTGTCCTTACGTGTGACGGTGGCTTGGTATATTAGTGATGACTGGAGGCAGTTTCCGTTAAGTGGGCATGTGTTCTTCTGTTGGCAGCTGCAAGCTTTGGTGTCTTTTGTGTTGGTGTTATCTGTGGTGTCGTTAAAGTGTTTGCATGAGTTTAAAATGCATTTGTTGTGGTTGTCGATGGTCTGTTTAGTGTTATTCATGCAGCTGTAGTAGATTTTGATTGTGTTGCGATTAAAGATTCTTCTAAGTTTGTGGTCTCTTGGGAAGTATTTGTCTGCTATGGCAAGGAATCTGTGTCTGATATTGGTGCTGACATTTTTGCTGAATGGGAGGTTGTACCAGAGTATTTTGTTCTGTTGACTGTCTTTTCGTTTGTTAGTTGTGGGTGGTTCATAAGGTAGAGTAGACTGGTATCCGCATTTGTCGAGTGCTTTTTGACATGGAGCCGCCCCTCCATATCAAAAAGCACTTGATGAATGTTTTTTGATATGGAGGGGCGGCTCCATATCAATAAGCACTCGAAGAATGCAGATACCGTTGCACCTTACACTATGAACTACCCACAACTAACAAACAAAAAAGCCAACAACGGAACAACATACTTTGCTACAACACCCCATTCAGCAAAAATGTAAGCACCAATATTGGACACCAGTTCCTTGCCCTAGTAGACAAGCATTTACCAAAAGACCACAAACTTAGAAGAATCTTTAATTGTAACCCAATCAAAATCAGTTACCGCTGCATAAATAACACTAAACAGATCATGGACAATCACAACAAATGCATTTTAAATTCATCCAAACACATCAATGACACCACAAATAACACCAACACAAAAGACACCAAGACTTTCAGCTGCCAACAGAAGATCACATGCCCACTTAGCGGCAATGCCTCCAGTCATCACAAATCTACCTCATGTAAGGACGACAGCACCACTGAGATATACATCAGACTTACAGAAAATTACCTCAAGACTAGATACAGAAACCACACCACATCGTTCTAACACACAAAACACAGAAACTCTACCAAACTCAGCAAACATATCTGGACCCTTAAAGAAAATACCATTGACCACTTTATTTCATGGCACATCCTTTCATCAAGACCACCTTACAACAGCACAAGGAAAAGATGCAATCTCTGCCTCAAAGAAAAATTACTTATCATCCGCCAAACTGAAATATCATCACTCAAGAAACGTAATGAAGTTGTCTACTGTGTAACAATTAAACAGAGCATTGAAATTTACCATGATGCCTATTTTGCAGACTTGAATAATAGGCGTGGATATGCATATTATATATTAAATATATTTCTATTCCTTGAGGTTTTCTTTGGAATTTATGGGAATAACAGAAATCCAGGGGATGAAAAATTGGCAAAAGAAAAAAAGAAAATGCTCTTTGCATTAAAACGAAGTTGTTTACCTTACTGCGGTTTAGAAAAAAAAAAAGAGAGATTATACACTAACAACTGGGCTCTATAACACATTTGAGAGGTGACCTAAATAGTTAAGGCAAAGTATGCCTCCTTAAAGAAAATGATTGAATTTGGAAGCAAAATGTTTGTTATATGAGGGCTGAAGGCTGTTCATAGCATTATGCAACTGTGTGGCATTGCATACTAGCAGCTGATTCATAAAATAGGACAAACCTAGTCCCTGCAGGGCTGGGGAGATGTGTTGAACTTCTTAGTGTCTGTCAGCATGGGAGTGGCAAACTTTTCCACATGGTGCTACTCATGTATGTCATCCATGTACAATTATATCATTACCCATTACAAATAAGAAAGTAAGAAATTTATAAGAGGTAAAATTACGATAGAAAAAATCAAAGTACAGTCTGGAATATCTATACAAAGACAGGTCTAACCCCTTGCTACGACTTTATCCTCATTGCAGACATGTAAATATCAACATATCAAGACCAATAAAAATAATTCTTTGGTAGAATAAAACATAGTTCAAAGTATCAATTTAAAATCTATTTACATAGCCCTAACAGTGTTTTTCTTTAGGCATTGGTGTCTAATTTTCATTTAATTTGTTTGTTATTACTACAACTGTATCCTTCTATTAAATCTCCAAGGGGCATATGTATGACTGACAATGTATGGTGCACAGCATCTAGTTCTCTTTGTTCACTTTTACAAAGTTTTTTCAGTTTACTAACTTTCATAGATAGTTGCCTAAGTTGCGAGAACATAATGGCAGACGAGGAAGATTTTGACGTTAGAGGAGACCTACCGGCGTTTTTAGCCTCAGTTTTAGACAAAGCGGAACATATTTGCCAAAATGATGTGGGTGAAGGAGCTGCCGAGCGAAGCGCATGCTGAAGTTATTGATCAGAGTATCAGAATGCTTAGATCGATACGAGATTGTCGTGGTATTGGAGCTAGTGACAAAGAGGAGCTGGATTCATTTGCAGCAGCATTTGCGGACGTGTTGTCATCTTTAAATCATCACATCGCAATTAAATCTGTCACCCCAGAAACTGCTGATGAAAACTGTTTTGCCTCAGGAAAGGAGGAAAAAGAAACTCCTGGTTTTCAAAATATGACAGGATTTCATCATCTGCCTGATGAGGAACTAGACGAGATCGTGAGAGGCTTCGTTTCCGACCGTGGACGAACTTCTGGACCGGGCTATGTTGGAGGTTACATAAAAGCACTTGGCTTAAGAATTCAAAGAAAAAGGTTAAGAGAAAGCATGACAAGAGTAGATCCACAGAATACTGCACTTCGACGGGGCGTTGTTGTTTCCCGTGGGACTTATCAAGTACCGAGTTGAACTCCTTGTGGCACTTAGATGGACATCATGCTTTGATATGCTGGAAAATTGTTGTTCACGGATGCATAGATGGCTTTTCGAGAAGAATAATGTTTCTGAGATGTAACTCAAACAATCGTACAGAAACTGTACTTAACCTGTTCTTAGATGCCATAAATCGTGATGGAAACCTTTGGCCATCAAGAATAAGAGTTGATAAGGGTGTCGAAAATGTCCTAGTGTGCGATGCCATGGTTCAAGCTAGGGGGGAGGGAAGGGGGAGTTTTATTGCTGCTCCTTCTACACACAACCAACGCATTGAAAGACAGTGGAGAGATGTTTTTCGATGTGTATGCCACCTTTATTACTATCTATTCTATGCTAAGGAGTCCATTGGTATCCTCAACACAGATAATCAAATTCATTTGTTTGCTCTTCACTTAGTCTTCATTCCAAGAATCAACAAAGCCCTTGACGAGTTTTGTGAAGCCTTTAATCACCACAAGGTTTGTACAGAAGGAAACTGGTCACCCTACCAAATATCGACAAATGGCATGTTCCATGCTGACAATCCACTATCACATGGGTTACTAGAAGAAGAGCCATCTAAGATGGAAATATATGGAAATGACCCCCAGAGACCATCTCCCACTGAAAGAGATAATCATGTTGTCATTGACCCTGTGGATCTTAGCCATGGAGATTTACTGAAGTCATTTGTTTTCGAACATCTGGATCCAGTGAGACCCTCAACTGAAATGGGTGCAGATATCTATACAAAAGCTTTAGAACTAGTATTAGACTTGAACAACTTGTTGATTCTGGAATATATATGCCACAATAATATTATTAATGGAGCATTGCTTTATTAACTTCAACTTTATCAACTTCGACTTAGTCAGTTTGGAAAATTTGGTATTGGATCAACCAATTACCAATTACCAATTACCCCCAATTGGTATTTTTCTTAATTCTCACCACTTTTCTGCTCAATATTGTATCATTATTGTAAAGGGAAATTCTACCTTGGTCACTGATGGTAGTGAAAGGTTTAATAGATTACTGGGAAATGGAACTTTTAAACCAGTAACTGCAGAAAAAAAAATTGTACAAATAGCTTTTTGAATAATGTAGCATTTGCTTGTTAGGCAGCTAACAATAGTCTTGAACTGTGCACTATGAGTACTGTTATGATCCTTCATCATCCCCTTTCTTATACCTTCATCTTAAGGTGGCTAGTAGCAGTTTGTAGCAGTTTCCAGCAGTTTTCAGCAGTTTCCAGCTCCTATAGTATGGTGCACTAAACATTTCTCAGTTACTGTTACAATACTGGCATCAAACAAAATCCTAATCAGTACTGAACCAAAATGTGGTTGTTTCCTTAACATTACTAGTTACCATAATGATTATAACAGCATAACCTGTTAAAACACCCTTTAACTCAAAAAAGAAATTCAGTGATCTCTATTTGTTAGTATTGAGTTATTATTTACATGTTATGGTAAGGGAGTTTTAAAGAGGTTATGGTAACCGTAACAACTACAAGTTATTCATCAATAAAAATCAGTTACAAAACTCAGAGTGTTGACTCCATAACCTACATAACACCGAAATAGCTATTCTTGAAAGCTAGGTCATACAGTTTGAACGGTTCATTATCTGATGGGAGGTGTAAAACTGCATTTTCTCTAGTCAAATCCAATGTGTTTGAACAGGTATGACAAGTTGGCACGAAATGCCAAATGGGTTTTTTCTTTTGAGGTGGTTCTTCTGATTGCCCAGTTCCCTAGTGCAAAAAGAAAATCGTTTGTGATAGCTGTAACCATGTACAAGTAAGTAGTACAAAGAGATCAATCGGAAAGTGACAATCATGATTATTAGTAACTTATACACAGATGTTCTGTATGTATAATAAGATAAAATAATATATAAAAGTTTCCTTCAACACAAGAAATGGATTTGTTTGGAGTGTGTTCCAAGGCATGTTGACTGCTAATATTGGCTTTTACAAGTCAGTGTAACTTAAATTATGTTAAATGCTTTCATCACCACACCCAGTTTTGCACATTTTACCTGCTATATTTGCAATCCTATGTAAAAAAACTTTTCAAAAACTACCCAAACCTGTACCTAATGCTTATATATTACCTCATCTGTAGTCATGGGCTCTTTCACTTCAGCTACTGGAAAGTGAATTTGTGGTGTCTTTGCAAAACCAAGGGGTGGTTCTTCACTTGTTCCAGTGACAAATTCAAGGATGTTTCCAAGGGTGACAACTCTGCAGCCACTTGACACATCTCTAACATATTTCACAAATTTGCTATAAATAGCTGTTTCATGAATGAGCATGTTGGATCCTTCCTCTGAGAATTCTGGTTTCAACAAGAACAAAAGACGTCGAACTGATAAACTGATAATGCTAGATGGCCTCCATTACGACTCCAGCCCGGATTATTTGTGACTTACTGAAATGGGTGACACCGCTGGACTTTTTACCTCGAAGGCTCGATTTATTCCTTTGGGCATTGCTTTCGGTGGCTGCCGAAAACGTGTCGAATGATTTCGGTTTTATTCGTTTCGAAAAAGGTGAGATATTTTGGAAGAAGACCAAAGGAACTGCGGAAGGTACTTCAAAAGACTTGGACAATAGTGTAATTAAGCTACCTTGCGCGAACAGACTTGTGATCTTGTATCCTTTTGTTTACATTGTCTTGAGATGAATGAACTCGAGATCGATAAACTGCAATCATTTGAATGGATTTAGTTTCTATTCACGGTGTATTTTTAGCCTTAATATGTTTTTAGGATTAAAAAATGGATCTTGGACGAGTTGTTGTAATCACTGCGAAGAGCAAAAGCGAAAATAGTTTATCATTTCGAGCGCTGATCGTTTTGTTTTGATCCGAATGAGTGCACTTGAATTAAACTACTTCTTTATTATGTAAATATTGCGTGTCATAAATAGTGCTCGTGTTCGCACGCTGGCGGTTCATTCTTTCACAACTTTCGTCTTGTTCGAATGAACTTGTTGTGATCTGACCGTGTTGTTTATTGTCGCGATGGAGTTTAGTGTTGGCAATTCTGTCGAAGCTGTCGATCAGTTAGGAATTTGGACAAAAGCGAAAGTTGTCAGCAAATCGGACAACGCAATTGCAAGCAGATTCCCAGGAGAGTTTATTTCATCTTTTAACAAAAGAAAAATATCTCACCTACATCAAAGAAGTTGCGCTCTTCACGATCTTCGGAAGCATGCCGGCATGTCGGCAAACTCATCGGAATGAATAAGTAATGACAAAGAACAATAGCCTGAATATATGAATACTTAACAACCTCAATTTTTGAGGTTCACGTTTAATCCGCTATGGAGTTGTCATGTCAGAAGATAAAGAAGCATAGGAAATTTCCTTCCAAACATGGGAATTCCTAAAGTATCCATTCCACCTTTGAGCTCCCTGACACAAGAAGGCAGTTCCAGATCTTCAACAAAAATTGCCTGCAGTATTTCTTCAGGTCTGTACACAGGCAACTGGCCATTTTGAAGCAGGGCAATACAGACCATTTGACCAATGTAATAGTAATCTTCAGACATGTGCTCTTTGAGGCCATTATCAAAGTAAATGTCTTTAATCTTTTGATTGCATAGTCTGATCCATTCCTTGCGAGGCCCACCACTATCAACAGCTTGCTCACCATAAAACTGAACTTCAAAGGTGACCCTAGGATCAGCTACATGCTTTAGTTCCTCAAATGTAGTTTCCAGAATATTATTTCTATCTACAGTTATAAAATTGGTCTCTCCTTCTAGGATTCGTGATGAATTGGTTACCTCTAGTGGTCTTCCAGAAACAATTTTCTTCTGCAGATATCTAAGCATCTCAGTTGGTTCCATTATGTCTTCTGGGAACTCATTTACAACTCGGCTAAAGAATTCATATGGACTTTCTGTTTTCTGCTCCTCCTCTTGTTGTACATGGCTGTTATGGAGAGCAGAGATGCCAGGGTTGTCTGCTAAGCCGTGAGGGACAATACCAGAATTACCATTAGAGGTGCTGAGGACAATACCAGAAGTTCCATTGGAGGTGCTGGGGACGATGCCAGAAGTTCCATTAGAGACATTGGGAACAATGCCAGAACTGCCATTAGAGTTGCCAGGGACAATACCAGAATTGCCATCAGAGGTGTCAAGGACAATACCAGAAGTTCCATTGGAGGTGCCAGGGACAATGCCAGAAGTTCCATCAGAGGTGCCAGGGACTATGCCAGAAGTTCCATTAGAGTTGCTGGGGACGGTGCTAGTCTCCTGGGCTCCAACTTGCAGCAGCTCAGAGTCAGAATTGGATGCATGGTTTTTGTTTACCACGAATTCAAAGCCCACTTGAATCTTGATCTACAACAGACACTGGCAAACCAATTTCTTCACTACATCGTAACTATACTCGGTTTTTTTGCTTAGATGCAGGACACTGATTCTTTTTTGAGTTGCTTTCACGAATTCAAAATCGTTGGGTCCAATAACACTGTATTTTTCTTTCAAGGTTGATGCGATCTTTTCTCTGACCTGCGCTTCGCAGTCTTGTTCACTGAGTGTAAACATGCCCCTTTCTACGACCATCTCTTTCTTCAAAAAATCATCTTCTGTATCATCTTCCTTGGAATTTAGAAGAGCAAACTCAAAAGGTTTTTCTTTGATACCTTTCCTCTGCACAGCTCGCTTCGATTTGCCTTTTGTTCCTCCTCGAGGAATCTGAGAGCGTAGTCTTTCGTTAGAGCCAAGTCTTCTAAAAGTTCCTCCATGCCGACTCCGGTCCATCATGTTTCTTGCGTCGATTAACGCGACGCTGTGGAGCATTGATTGACTTTCCACCGAACCTTCTGACGATACTGATGTAGATGGGGAATCCACTCTTAGCAACGTATCCGAGGCTCGCCTTAAAGGCCTGCTGCTTCGGCAATTTTGTAATTCATTGCCTTTTTGCACTGCAAGTATTCCTTGTAATGGCGGACGAACGCTGCACGTGAAACGCTATCGTTCCCAAGCCCATATCTTTCTGATCCCATGGCTTGACCCAGTCCCCGAGATGAAATAAATATTTTTCCGGATTGAATTGAACGAATATATACGGATTAAATTAAATGGATATAGAGCGATTAAATTAAATAAATATATACATATTAAATAAAATGGATTTAAAAAATATTCCATATATATATATATAAATATTAAATTGAACAAATAAAAATAATTTACATAGATATAAATATTAACCTGAATATATATATAATTATTGAATATTGCTACAATCGGCTTGCCATGCCAAAACGACTAAAAAAAGAGTTTTATGAGCAAAAATCTCTTGGTTCGTCATGTGACCCGGCCCTGTCCGTGCATGACAACGTCAATCATGATCAAGATAACACGCGTGATCAGCGTGTGAACACCTCATTGGATCACAGTTATTTGTCATGGTGTTGAGGGCCCAATGACCACTGGGTACTATTGCGCAATTTTTCCATTTTGTGGCGGAGGAAAAAAAAAGACGACAGCAAAAACAAAGGCATTTTATGACTGGGCTACCACAGGTATCCCAGTAATGAATTTGTGTCTTCGTGCCACCACAGAAACAAAGCATTACTGCGTAACAATTGAACAAAGCATAGAAATTTACCGGCACACCTTTATGCAAGTTTCTAAAATATACAAAAAATGATTATGAATATTCTTAACGATAAAATCCTCTGATGAGTGATCATCACGAAAGTATAGTCTCTGTTTCTTCCCTATCTCTATACATAGTGCGCTCAACTTCTACGCATCAAGCATCAAGCATTGCAACAGAAAAATCAAAACACAGACTTCCTATATATATATATATATATATATATATATACATGTATAATCTTACGTGAGGCACATGTCTTGATAGAGAGCTCGTGAGATTGATTTCTAGCAAGCTACAATCAACCTGACAACTAACTTGCCGAGACTTGCAGCCCCCCAAAATTTTGGGCCAATCAGAATTTTTGGGCAGCAAGAGAAATTTGGGCAAAGCCAGTTTTTAAAGATGTTTTCAAGTTTTTTATACTGAGCAAACTCCAGGAATCACACAAGCAAGATGTGAAGGAAAATCGTGACTACCTGAAAGTTATCATTGAATGTCTCATGTTTACGGCCCAGCAGAACATCGCCCAGCGTGGTCACGATGAACAACGTGATGGTTTGAGTAATAGCAGTGATGTAAATAGAGGTAATTTTCTGGAAGTAATTCACTTGCGGTGCAAGGACATAGCTTGGCTAAAGGATAAACTCGATAGCCAGCTTCAGAAGCACGCGCAGTGGACATCTCCCGTGATACAAAACGAACTGCTACAAATTATTGCGGATCTCATTCGCGAGCGTATCACAAACGATGTGCGAGCCAGCGGATGGTATGGTATCATCTTGGATGAAACATCAGACATTAGCAGAATAGAACAAGTTTCACTTTGCCTTAGTTTCGCGCTGAATGGAACGAAGAAGGAAGCATTCATTGGTTTCTACTCCACGAAATCAACCGAAGGAGAAGTACTGTATGAACTGGTGAAATCCTCTATCACTGAACTCAATCTTGACCTAAAGAACATTGTTGGTAAAGCATTTGATGGGGCTGCTAACATGAACGGTGTACACAAAGGACTCTCGACAAGAATGGAAGAGTGCTCCCCGTAACATTGCACTTATCAACATTGAAAGAGCGTATGCCAACTCTGTAGTCAACAATGACATGGATCGTATCATTGATATCTTCGGTCGTCAAAATGGCAGAGACAATTATTTCTTTTAAGTTTTAAAGTGTTTTTTGAGCTCATATGATAGATTCATAGGTAAGAATATTTTCACTTCATATGTAGGCCATTGTTAGTGCATCGTATGACCCTCGTTTCCTTTCGACTGTTTCGTAAAAATTTGGGCAACTTGTGAGAATTTTTTGGGCAAATGGTTCACCGGCCCCCCTGGCAAAATAATGCCCGTACGCCTATGGTTACAGAGGTAACTTTCAATTGCTTTACAGTAATCCGCAGTTCCTGTTGTGTCAACATCAGTGGAAAAACATTACAAGAGTTCAATGAAATATCAATATGAATATATCTAATTTCTACAATGTAATCTATAATTAGTTAATATTACATACTAACCCTAATCGAAGAGGATTTTGTAAAACTGTTCTTAAATCTGTCTTACAGTGCAAGGTCACAAAAGTGCGTGCATGTTTTAAATCATAGCATATGCTTAAAATGGGAGGTAAAGGTTTCCTTAATTAGTGTATGGTTAGTAATAATTTAAGAGTACACACAAATATTTTCATGTTGATGAGTGATTGTGGGCAGGCTTAGGCCTCCTGATATTCCGTGCGTGGGCATATGAAGAGCATTGCTCTCTGCTGAATGCACTCCAGCTCATATTATAAATACTCAAGCACCATAATTGATAACATTAGGTATGCGTGTAAAATGAAACAAGCATAAATTTTCATTAAAACGTTGGCACTCTTCAGTTGCATGAGGAAATATGTTATAAACTCGTAAAAACTACACTTGTACTCTTTGCATTCGTTTATTAACCTATCGAGATTAATTGTGTTCTAAAATTGTACGTGTAGAAAAATATATACAAGTAATTTGATCATAGTCTAAAACTGGTCAATCAAGTTGGAATAAAATACGATCTGTACAAACAAAACTATAAATGCGTGACTAATCGTTACATAACAATTCGATTACGAAATACACGTGACTTTTCGTGACAGTTCTTGACACTCCCCCTAGTTGTTCACTAAAGTGAATCAACTAAAGTACACGCATTGAAATAAAACCTAAAATGTCCTCGCAAGGTTCAGTGTTCAAAGTTCGCACTATATTCATTGACAACAAACACGGTCTTCGAAATTGTTCAGTTTTTATCCACTATTGTTTCACTTCAGTTGGGATTAGTTGCTGAATCGGTCGTCGTAAACGTTGATTAGAAGTAGAACTGGTTCCACGTGGCACGGTAAGTATTGCCGCTCGCACAGACCCGTCACGTCCACGCAGCAGTTGTTCTACTTTGGCCAATTTCCAAAAGGCTCGTGCAACAGAATCGTTCTTGAGAATCACGACATCTCCGACCTTGAACTTCCCATTAACGTCGCGTGCACTTGATCCCATCGCAACTTGTTCGCGTAAACTGGTCAGGTATTCGTTCCTCCACCGACGCGTAAACTGACTTAGCAAATGTCGATGATGCTTTAATCTCTTGGTTAAAGAATTGTTCGTGCTCGTGATCTCGTAATGCTGACTTTTGGGATTCAGTGCAGTTATCCGTCGGCCATAAATTAAGTCGGACGGAGTTAACGGGTAAGAAACTGACTCTTCTTCATCATAAACGTAAGTAAGCGGTCTGGCGTTGATCACTGCTTCTACTTCGGTTAGCAAGGTACACATTTCGTCGTAACTCACAGTGGACCGCCCAATAACTTTCTTGATGGGTGACTTGATGCTTCGAACGAGTCTCTCCCAGTAACCTCCCCACCACAGCGCTTTCTCAACGATAAAATTCCAGGTACTTCGGTTGTCAGTTAGGTATCTCCAGACTTTTGGTGATCTAGCGATCTTTCGAATTTCTTTGCTGGAAGATTGAAACGTTTTCGCGTTATCAGATTGTATCGTTGCCGGTAATCCTCGTCTACTGGCGAATCTGCGGAAGGCTAGTAAGAAATCTTGTCCAGTCAGTCCACGTGTCAATTCCAGATGAACAGCTCTAGTTGACGCGCATGTAAATAGACACACGTAAACCTTGTTGGAGTGGGAGTCACTCGTTTGTAAACTTCTACGGGTTTCTTTGACGTACAATGGTCCGGTGAAATCCAGTCCGATGTGTGTAAAAGGCGGATCGTCGGAGACTCAATGACTTGGTAAATTGGCGAAATGTGAGGGCTTGCATGGTGATGCTTCGTACCTGCGGCAAACAACACAGCGACAGATAACTTTCTTTACTGTTGCGCATCCACGCAAAACCCAGTATCGCTCTCTCAAAGCTGTCAGTGTAGCATTGATTCCTGAATGCTTGACCCGATCGTGAGTTTGTTTGATTACAAACTTTACAAAGGTGTACTTTGCTGGCAAAAGAATTGGAGACTTACTAGAAGTGGATAGTGAAGCGTTGGAGATTCGTCCTTTGCATCTGATTGTCTGGTCCTCGCTAAGAAATAACCCAAACTGAGCTACTCGAATAGTGGGCATAGACTTGGAGCTTTTCTGATTAAGAAAGGAAAGTTCGTTGACAAACACAGTCGTCTGTACCAATTTGATCCATAAGGTTTCAGAGTTCATTAATTCGTCTGCTGTTAATTCCTGGTTTAAATCTCAATTATTCCTTCCTTGTACTCTCTTCTTGAGACTGTTGACAAATCTGGTCACATACGCTGTCACGCCAAGTAATGTCGTGATGTTGCTGTAACGCTCAATGTCAATTATCTTGTCAATTCCACAGTCGAGTGAGTCGCTGGTGTCGGTATTAACCATTGAATGCGTAATTACCTTTTCGTTCTTGATCTCTTCTCGCTGAATTTCTTCTTCCTCGGTTTGTGCTGTTTGTGACATTTTAGGCCACTTGTTGACAGGATTACGCAAGAAATTTGGGTCATTCCACCAAGTCTTACAAGTGGAAAGTTCTTTGGCGGTTAATCCTCAAGTTGGAAGATCGGCGGGGTTAATCTCTCCGGGACAATGTCTCCACGAATCTTTGTGAGTTAAGCGGCGAATCTCGTCAACATGTTGGCCCATGTACTGTTTCCATACTCGTTCGTTCTTAATCCAACAAAGCGCTGTCATGGAGTCTGTCCACATCACTGTAGGAGATTCGATGCCAAGGGACTAAAGTTTGTCTACGAGACGAGCTAAGATCAACGCTCCCAACAATTCCAGGCGAGGAATGGTTTGTCTCTTAATCGGCGTAACTCTCGACTTAGAAGCAACTAGTCGAACTTCAGCTTGACCATCACTGTAGGTGCTTCGAATGTACACCACTGCGGCGTATGCACGTTCGGATGCGTCGCTAAAACCATGTAATTGTATATCCACGGGTTGACGAGCAAAATAACAACGAGGGATGCGATAGCAATCGACGAGGTTTAAATCTTGAAGAAACAATTTCCATTTTCGAAGGGATTCTCCTTTCAGTTCAATGTCCCAGTTTGTCTTTTTGATGCACAGTTCTTGAAATAGGATTTTCATTTCCACTGTCAAAGGTGACAGAAATCCCATGGGGTCGTATATCTTTGCTGTTACTTTGAGAAGCGATCTCTTGGTTGGCGGAAGTGAGCTTGCGTAATTGTACAATTCGGAAAAGCTGAAGATAATTTCGTCGTCGTGAGTGTTCCAGTTCATTCCTAAAACCTTCACGAAGATGTCTTCATCAATTGGTGTGGTAGAGCTGAGATCCTAAGTGTTTGATTTGGCGTACGATATGTCGTCTTCTTGAATCTCTTCTCTGTTGTTACTGTGGGCGCTTATTGACTTTGTCACGCTTTCTGACTTCACGATTGCTCTTTGTACTTCTATAAGTTGATTTTCCACTTTCTGAGGTTAAAACCTCCTTCGGACATCAACCTCTTTGCTCTATGATAAATAGCGAGAGCCTTTTCTTCGTTGCACTCCCCCGTTAACAGATCATCCATGTAGAACGATTGTTCTAGGAGCTCGACCATTTCTGGGTCGCTTTGTTTGTACAATTTGAGATGATGCAAAATTGTAGCTCCTAAAATAGCCGGCGAAGGACAAAGCCCAAATACCAGTCGTGTGAACTTGAGATGAATGATCTCCGGGTTCTCTAAGCTAGGGTTGTCAAACCACAAAAATCAGAGGAAATCTCGCTGACCGTCCTGAATTCCAACCATCAGGAAAGCTTTTTCAATGTCAGCGGTAAGGCCAATAATGTTCTTTCGGAAGTTAGCTATTATGTTAAAGACGTGCGGTAGGTGGTTTGGGCCAGTTTGTAGGCAATCGTTCAATGATCTTTCTTTCTTGGAAGCCTTTGCTGAACCATCGTACACGACTCGTACTTTCGTGGTTTCACGGTCTTTTCTGACGACTTCCAGATGTGGAAGATAATGGCTTCGAGACGTGTTTTTGTCGTTCTTCAAATCTTCGGCTAGCACTTCTTCGACGATTCCGGTTTTCAATTGTTCTTGAATTATGTTGTCGTATTCCGACCGCAGTGACGGTTCTCTTCGGAGCCTTTGGTGTAATGATCGTAGCCGCGACTCACATAAATGCTAACAGTTGGAAGATGGCAGGCAATCTTCTTTCCAAGGCAACTTGACCTCGTACCGATCTTCATTTCTCTTCACGTTGATTTCAAATGATTCGTTTTGGACATCTCCATCAGCTGTTAGCTCACTGATACCGATTGATTCCGTCTCCCAAAAATTTTTGAGAGTGTTTGCTAGAACGTCATCTTGACTCGGTCGAAATATGAGTGAGTTATGGCTATCAATAATCAAATTGGAGTGTGTGATGTAACTTCTTTCAACAGTTTCATTGAGTGGACGGGATAACAGCCAACCGAGCTTGCTGTTTACGGCGATTGGACCTTCTTCGCCTCGTTTCGTCTCCCCAGTCACAAAGTTCCAATAGTAGTCCGAACCGATCAGTAGGTCAGTCGAGCTTCCGGAACTGCACGGTTCATCGGCCAATTCCAGACCATCCAAGTGCGCGTAACTCGTACATGCTTTCGCGGGTAAAGGCGAGCAGATAACAGGAAACGTCAAGGCAGAGATCGTAATCGGATCATCGGATCATCGTGTTCTGACTTTCGAAGTTGCAAATTCACCACGTCGCAGCTCTGCTTCTTGAACTTTGACTCGCCAAACGTGTTTAGATTGAGCTTTTCGGTTTTTAGAGACTTAAGTTGCAACCTGGATCGTTGGCTATCTGTGATGTATGACCGTTGACTGCCATTGTCGAATAATAATCTGATTGTCGTCGATTTCGTTCCTTCGTCATTTGTCGCGATCGCGGTGGCAGTTTGCAATAATACTCTGTGTTTCGGGTTTGCATTCTCTGAAGTGGTGGTCGCCGTTGTCGACGGCCTTATTGTTTTGCTCTCCTGATGCGGGGTGGGGCGGCTTACTTGCGTTACGGGGCGAGTTGATGGTTTGTTCCAGGCAAATCGACTGATGATGTTTTCTGTTGCACTTTCTGCAACTTTTGTCGCATTTTTCTGAATTGTGCTTTTTTATCAAGCATGTAAAACATCTTTATCCCGTTTCAGGATTGCCTTTCGAGAGCACATGTCAGTTATCTTTGGACATGAGGCAGAAAAATGCATTTCTGAGCAGTAAACACATGTGGGCATTGGCAATGGTGGTGTCGAATCCAGTAGAAAGGAACCAGTTGTCGGAATTTTCGGAAGCTGAGGTCGTTTAGGCTCCGTGTTATTTGAAATGGCTTTGATCTTCTCGCCAATCTCTCGCGCTTCGATTTCGTTCTGAATTACGTTAAGAATGGACTCGATTTCCCAAACATCTTCGGTGGTGTTTCGGGTGACGTGTACTCTGATTTCAGGGGGAAGTTTGGCCATGATGATAGGAATCAGTAAGCTTCCATATTGACTGGCTTTCACCCCCAGAGCTTCCAGACCTCGTATGTTGACATTCGGTTTGTCGTAAAGGTAACGAAGTTGATATGGTTTGTCTGTTGGACATGTAGATATCTTCAAGAGTTCATCCATGTGCGCTGAGATGAGTTGCTGTGGTTTACCAAATCGCTTGTTGATAATGTCCACTGCTGCCTCGTAATTAGAGAGTTTAAGATATCTGGACGGCTGACCTTGAGGACGTTAACATTGAGCGCGAGGGACTGGGTCGATGACGACTACCTTAGCGGGAAACTTTTCACGTTAAGGAGCAGATTTCAAGCTGAGGACGACAACGTTTTGTTCATCATGGCATCTTTGTTATTGCTTACGCAGAAGGGCTATTGACGGATGAAGAGTTTATGTTTCTTTATGAGACAAATCAACCAGTTAATTTAAAGTTGCCTTACTACGAGTATGAGGAATTTAACTTTGACGAAAACATCAGTGAAGCCGAATGTAAAGCGGAGTTTAGGTTTGAAAGAGGAGATATCGAACGTCTCGCTGATGTTATTCAATTACCGCCCACCTTTACGTGTCCACAAGGCAGTGTTTGCGACCGAATAGAGGGCCTTTGCATACTTCTTCGTCGCCTCGCATATCCATGTCGTTACAGTGACATGGTCAGCAGATTTGCAAAACCAGTTCCTGTTTTGTGTATGGTATCAAACATAGTGCTCAACTATATCTTCGATCGGCATCATCACAGAATCACAACCTGGAATAATTCCATCTTGAATCCATTTGCTATCTAACAATACTCTGATGCTGTGTCTGACAAGGGTGCTGCCCTTAAGAACTGTTTTGGGTTTGGTGGATGGAACTGTCCGCCCGATTTGCAGGCCGGGGGAACACGAACGGCTTGTTTATAATGGGCACAAGAGGGTACATGCCCTTAAATTTCAGGCTGTTGCTCTTCCTAATGGGCTTATTGGACATTTGTTCGGTCCTGTAGGTAAGTCTAGTTATTCCTACAGTCTCTTTTGTTTTTGGTTTTAAGTCACCAGTTTTGGCTTAGAAAAATTTATCAGTTGAACAATTGGTTTTTCAGAGGGAAAGAAGCATGATGCTGCCATGTTGGCCGACTCTAATTTTCTCACCGCTTTGGAGCACAATGCTGTATCCCCAACTGGCCAACAGATGTGCATATACGGAGACCTCGTCTATCCTTCAAGGGTAAATCTCATGGCACCATTCAGAAGGGCCGCCCTGACAGCGCAAATGGAAGCCTGCAATGATTCTATGTCGAATGTGCGTACGTCAGTCGAGTGGTTGTTTGGAGACATTGTGGAGTATTTCAAGTTTATGGACTTTAAAAAAAACCATGAAATAGGTCTAAGCTCGATCGGAAAATTGTATGTCGTGTGTGCCCTGTTAAGAAATGCGTTAACTTGCCTTTACGGAAATTCAACTTCAAGTTTTTTCTAGCTGGATCCTCCCACACTGGAGGAATACTTCTCTTGAACAATTTTAAGTCATCTTTCCACAAACTTCTGACCAAAATTGAGCTCTGAAATCAGTTAAAGGTAGTTAAACAACGTTTCGATAATTCATCGATTTTTTGCGAAGATAAAGGAATCAAACACTTTATTAACAGTCAAATATTATTCAAGCACAATCTTAATAGACGGTTTACACGGAATTTGGCGGTCTCACAGGTATTAAGGTGATTCGAAATTTCTTCCCAAATTTTGCCTCTTTCGATCGTTCTTTCTTTGAATTTGTATGGCTGACAGACGAGTATTTCCCAGCAGAGAAGGAGATCTTGCTCTTCCTTCCATTCCATGCTCGCTAATCCTGTAAATAAAGAGAAGGCAGATAAAACAATTTCTCTGATTTCTCGCTCCTAACTGACCAAGGGAAAAGCATTTGGACCGTGTAGATTAAAGTTTAATACAAGATAAGACATCTTTTATTCAGAGGATAAGCGGGTTCAAGTGCTAGGGACTTTTTTTTAGTAAAGCAAGAAAATTTAACGCACGTGTTCAGTCGAAATGCTCCACCGTGGCTGTGCACAGTGCACATCACTTTTACAATTTTAACCAGCTTGTTAGTGGTTTTATTGCCCAAAACAAAAAAGTGACAAACAATGTTCATCTAATGAAGTTCGAAAATCTAAAAACATGTGGAAGTTTATGGGGAAATAATAGTAACAGTACCCACGTTGACTGGTGGACGGCAAAACACCACTTCTCACGTCCTCGACACAAACAGGACTGCAATCCGCGTGGACCAGGCATGCGCATTGTGGTCTACACGCGAAATTTACTTCCGGTCAGCCGTCCAGGTATCTTAAACTCTCTATTTTCTTCGGTGATTGGCAATCCAGCGATAGTGCGAGACGCGGTTCCTTCTAGCAGGGATACCAGATAATTGACCTTGTCGATTTTCGTGTGGTCGGTATTCGTGTGCACTGTGCTTTCGAAGCTATCCCAGAAACTTCGAAATTGCGTAACATCTCCTTTGAACTTTGGCAATGTGATCTTGGGTACTCTTGATCTCGATGGCCGTGGTGCTGAACCCGTCGAATTAGGGTGCGAATAAGATGCTGATGAATCGAGGGGAATCGAAGCGTTAACAGAGGGTGATGTTGAAGCGGGTGGAATCGAAGTGTTGCTAGAGGTCGAGGTTGTAGCGGGCAGATTTAAAGCGTGGCTAGAGATCGATGTTGAAGCGGGTGGATTTGAAGCGTCGCTAGAGGTCGAGGGTGAGGCGGAAAGAGTTGAAGCGTTGATCGTATACTTCTCTTGTGGTAAAGACATTTTCGGTACAGCGGGTGTGGTGCTTGTTGAGATGTTCGCGATGGCAGCCATGAGACGCATTTTGAAAAAATCGGCCTCTTCCACCTCCTTCATGATTTCGTCAACTTTGCTGGCGATCAATATTTGCTCGTCGAGCTCGCTGATAAGTTGCAATTTTTCCTTTAACATCGCATCTATCCTCGTTAGCCGGTTTTTGGAATAAAATACGATCTGTACAAACAAAACTATAAATGCGTGACTAACCGTTACATAACAATTCGATTACGAAATACACGTGACTGTTCGTGACAGTTCGTGACAAAATACGTTAGAAAAACATTCAAGAATTGATCAATAAAAGACATGAATAAAATAGATCTTACAAACAAAACTATAAATGTCTAACCGTAAACCTATGACCATATGTTTAAAAATAGGAAACGTATATGCTTACGTGTCCTATAGATCGTTTTCAGTTTTGTGATCTCATTTTAATTGCCAGAAGAATACCTTCAATATTTACTATTCAAGGAGAAGTATGGAAACTTCACAAGGAGAGGTGAAACAAATGGATTTCTGCAATCAGTAGGGAAGAGTGCGCTGACAAAATTTTGGATCACAGCCTTGTCTGTGGTAAATATTTTATCTCCAGAAAAGCGGCTGTACTGTGGGATGGACACGGTGGGGCCAGACCACCCTGTCAATGTTGCATTAGAGGTGTGCGTAAAGTTCAAGATGGCAGCTTGTTTGCAATTTTGTGAAAACCTTTGACGACCCCTTCAGTGCTGTAAATGTGATCTACTGAAACTGGGAGTGGCAGCAGTATAGAGCAGGTCAATAATCTTTACAGTGAGCTCAAAGGTGCCGTAGCTGCATTAGATAGCAAATACACCCATTGTAGAGGAAGAGTTTTGACGTGCAAAGATTAATACCCTCAAGAGGGATGGTCAGGAGGTCCCTCAGAAAAATGCATGGAAAAACATTTCATTGTCTGCATATGAGGCCTAACCTAGCAAACCCCTGGCATAGAGAATTTTCTGTGGATATGCCTCTTGAGTCGTTTAGTTTTTCTCAAGACAACATACAGTGTAGAAGCTTTGGTGAACAATGCAGGGAAACAACCACTCATGGTATTTTATGTGACTTATTTAGATGTTGGGGATGCAAGAGCTGTGCTAACTCACTCACCATTTCCTTCAAGATAATAATTGTGATTAACCTTAGAATACTCTGTAAATTTCAATCCCAAGTGACAGCCACACTGCTAACCAAACACTAGTTAACAAAGAAGAGGAGAAGATGCATTTTACATGTGTATCTTCTTAGCAATTATTGATTCCTCACTTTAGAACAAACATGGGGGAGTTTTGTCCCACCACTATTGGTACATTGCATAACTAAAGAGATTGTGCCCTTAACGTCCAAGAAATTCGAACAGTAAATGTGTATCAACACAATAATTTAAAGGTTTTGTATCTATGGCACAAAGATCTACTTAAGTGGATCCCTTCCAATTTTCAATATGCAGGTAGTATTCGTGGATACAAGACTGATGTGCATCCCAACAAAATTTACGTAAATCTTAAGTGTACAATAACTCTGGCAAACAAACAATTGTCTATTCAGGAACTAATCTTTATGAAAAAATCTTACTAGACTTATTATAACTTAAAATCTTCAATTTCTCTGAGCAACACTCTAAACATTTGCCTTAATATCTACCTTATCATCATCGTCATTACTATTATCATCATTATCATTATTACTATTTTCTTTAAGTATAGTTCTGTTATCCCTCATTTGTGTTATTTAAGCAACTTAAGTGAACTGGAAGCCAACTTGAAAACGTAGCAGCTATTTAGCCTCCAGCCTCTTCACTTCTGCTATTTCTCAGTGTTCTAAGTAATGTGTATTTGAAATTTGTAATGTATGACAGTGTGTAAAATATTACACATCATGAATAATAAAAATGGTCCCTGAGTCACCAGGAACTGAGACCAACAGTTTCAAACCTTAGATACAACTACCAGCCAGAAAAAGGAAAGAAAAATTTGCTTCATGCACAATTTAGGCAGCATCTATGAAAGTTAATAAATAAAAATTACTAAGTGAAAATAGCTTTGTAAAAGTGAACAAAGAGAACTGGATACTGTGTGCCACACATCATCAGTCATGTATATACCCTTTGGAGATTTAAGAGATGGGTATGATTGTAGTATTGATAAACAAATTTGATGAAAAGTTTTTGCACCTATGGCACATAGGCCTACTTAAGTGGATCCCTTCCAAAATCATTTTCAATATGCAAGTAGTGTTCATGGATACAACACCAGATATGCTTCCCAACAAAATTTATGTGAACCTTAAGTGTGCAATAACTCTAGAAAACAAACAATTGCTAAGAAAATGGAAGCTGATCTTGATGAAATGATAGAGAATCCTAATGAGGGAGCTACTAGGTTGATAAAGGATTATGTTCAGTGGGAAGACAACATTAAAAGGAAAAACGGTTGTGAATATATGGAAGTCATATATGGCAATATTGCAAATCCTTCTTATTGAACTCCTTGTCTTTAATAAGTAAATAGTGATTGAAATAAAATATTGTGGTGGATGTGATCTTTTGGCTGGGTTGAGTGAACCTGTGAGGAAGCTGAATCCTCGACTCACCACATTAGTTTACATCAGTGGCATTCTTACCAACCTTCAATAAAATCTCCTCTCAGAAAAGCTTGGAAAATTTGACTTTCAGTTGATTTGAGATAATCTAAGTTTCTATACCTCATAACTGCCGAACTGATGACAAAAAATTGCCACCTCCCACGAGGGGTATATTCAGTGCCTAAAAAGCATCCTTTGGCACATGTAAATTTATTGATTTTTGGACTAAAATACCATCATTAAAATTTGAAGTTCATCGAGAGGAGTTGTCTAAGAATAATAATAATTTATTAAAGTTCTGTTGCACAAATATCAATATAAAATTTTCACTTGTGCATTACAATATCTTCATATACATATATATAAGTTAAAACTACTTCACATAAAACTAAAAATAAGACAAAAATAGAATAACAATAACAATGATATAATGAATTAATAATCACATCTAAAAATTAAAACGAGAAATCATAACTTTCAAACTAAAAACGCCTATTTAAATAAGTGAGTCTTTATTTTTTTAAAATTGATGAATGTCATTGGTGTTTCTTATACTCTCTGGTAGGGTATTCCAGAGTCTCAGGGCAGCCCCACTGAAAGACCTGTCACCAGTGTGGTGAGCAATTTTATTGAACAATAGGTACACATTGTTTGCGCAAAATGCTTTAAAGTTGGAATCCACTGTTCTGAAAACAGTAACAATTGAAAACATGGTGATGCAAATGCCTTTCTTCATTCTGTAGTAAAAGTGAACAACAGTTCCCAAAACATACTGTTGGCCATCTGCAGACCTCTCAACCTCAAAACACCAAAAATCCGGAGACTGATGTAAAAAAATCTGGAGATTTCCGTAAAAATCTGGAGATTGATTGACTGGCAGACAAAACCAATTAAACACAGGCTCTAATTAAGAGAAAGTGTTTTTTTTCTAGCTTATAATTTACATAAAACATGTGTGGACCTTAACAACACAGAAATAAACTTTATTTCACAGCTTAAGTTCAGCTAGTGTGTGAGCACTGAGCTGAACTCAGTGTTCAGTATCATATGCAGTAGCTGCCTTTTTGGAACTGTCCAACAGTCCTTTTGTAGGACTCCACATGTGGCACTGTACAATCTGCTCTGGATACTGCAGCTTCATGGCCAGCAAACTTGACAGTGTACCCTCCAACCTCATCAATGCTCTGCTCTCAGTCTTGTTTTTCCTCACAATACTGACAATACAAAACAAGTCCTGCTACTTTTGGCAAATGTTTGAATCGTTTAGCCGTTGTGCCAGGGATGACAAGCCAAGCAATATGCCACCACAAGACATCCACTCTGTGATGAAAAAGCACCTCCATCCTCTTCTCCGTCAATCACTTTAGCTTCCTTCAGCACATCATCCCAAAAACATTCATCAGGAAGTGTCTGGTAGTCACAGAACTCGTCATAAAGCTTGTCAACAGGCAATTGTTGAAAAAAAGTTTTAAATCTGTTTATGAAAAATTCCACGCTCTCCCACTTTGAATCTATTCTGCTTCCTACATCAATCCATCCTGCTTTTATAATTAGTTTGTTTGACAGTGGAAATTTTGTCAAAATGTAACTGAGGGAGTCCTTAAAATAGGCTTGAGCTACTTTAAATACCCAGGAATGCTGCCTCTCGCTAATGTCTCCATCATTGAGAAGTTTTTGAAGCTTGAACTTTGTGGTAACCCCCATAAAGATTGAATGCTCTGGCTTATAAATCTGTGGATCATCCAAATTCAGTTCTGTAACTGGTGTATCCTTTAGAACTTGTGGCTTAATGATCATGTTGGCCAGAGACCATGCCAGTTGTATGGTGGAATCGTGAAGCATGTGAATGATAGGCTCTTCAGATTGCAACAGTCTGTTGAAGTTGTTGAAAAGTGGAATTGATGCATGGTGAAATAGCAGAGAAACTTCTGTTAGAAGATTAGAGAAAGCATCTCACAGCCTTGAAAATCTTTGGTCAGCAAACTCTTCACTTAGAAAGTACGACTTGAGTCCACTGTACTTTTCAAGTGTTCCCTGCACGCACCTTTCCAATGACAGCCACCTTGTTGACACATGTTTCAATATTTTGGCATACTCATGTCCACAAAGCTCCATGTACTCAAGTAATACCCCTTTTCTCTTGGTGCTTCTTTCAAACCAGTAGTAGAGATCAATGTGCAAATCTTCAATGTTCGCACCAATTACTTTTGCAAAAGAGTCGTGACCATTACTGGCAGCTATGTGCACCAGATGACAAGGGCAACCACTAGCAAAAATATCTGGATTTCTTTGCCAACACCAAGATGCAAAGGAATTATTCTTTCGGATCATGAAGTGAGTGTTGTCAACACTCAGGCTTACTGCATTGGCCCAAGGGATACTGTCAGCCCTGAATTTCTCCTGAACAGCATTAAAGATTTCTTCTGCTTTGGATCCATTGCGACCAGTTGTGATACACATGTCATAGAAGTGGTTTGTCACACATTTTGACTTGTCCATATCAAACAGTTTTATCATCACTGCATTCATTTTCTTGACATCAGTGTCACTGGATCCATCAATTCCAAGACTAAATGGGTGATTTTTGCAGTGTTCAACTATGTATCGATGGCAGTGGGGTCCCATAGCCTTATTGATAATTGCAGCTGTATTTGTTATAATGTTTCAATTGCATATGTCCGCCATATTGAAACCTTTTTCCTAGCTCCCAATCCCCTAAATAAAATTTTGATGTCCTGCCTACGAAACCCCGTTAATAAAGTTTTTATTTGTTTAGAAGTTTACTCTGTTGGTTCATTAACTTTTGTAAAGTTGGTGGCTCCTAAAGCAGCTGTTTTTTTTGTATTTTTGAGCTAGATTACATCCATATTCATAGAACCTTGGATCAAAGGTCAGTGGAAGTAATCTGCCCTCCCTCTGCATGGTAGTCAACATTGGTAAATACCGTCGTAGATGTCTGCGACACGCCAGAAACCACAAGCTTACCAGGTACAGATTTGTTGTGCATTGCTGTGTTGATGGGTATTCAAGGGTTATTGTGTATGCCACCCTAACTGATAACAACCGAGCAGATACAGTATTGGAGCTCTTCATCAAGGGAGTACAAGAGTTTGGCTTACCTTCAAGAGTAAGAAGCGATCATGGACTGGAAAATGTTGGAGTGGCACAGTACATGTTGGAAAATAGAGGAGGTATCATAACGGGAAGCTTTGTCCACAACTGCCGCGTTGAGCGTGCTTACAATGAAATGTTTACGCTGGTGTCCTTTGTCACTTTGCCATTATCTTTGGTGGAATGGAAGACATGGGTCTTCTTGACCCGTTAAATGAGGTACATTTATTTTCATTGCACTTTGTCTACATACCAAGGATAAATAGGGCATTGCAACACTTTACTAGTCAATGGAACAGTCACCCTGTCTCCAGTGAACATCAATTATCTCCCCTACAAATTTTTGCCTCTGGGATTTTGGAAAACATGCACTCTGGATACTCTGGAGTTGAGAGATAACTTCGGATAGAAAGAGAGTCGCAAAGCAGTTCATACCGCTTTACGAGGACCTGCAAAAGTGATAACTTCTTAGAAGATTTTCTGACCACTTTTGCTGAGCGTAGATGTATAAAAAAGTCTTAACGCAATTCTGGATATCGTGTTCAATGATATCTTAATCGGAGATCACATCCTCATTGCTGTTTGACTACAATGTCTTAGAAAAGTTACGTTTTCAGCCGTAGATATCGCATAATCAATTGCACGTCTTCAACTGAATTTTCCATTCACTAGGCCGTTTGTTAACAATTAAATTTGCAATTTTTCGCTTCTTTTAATGTTTAATCTGAGCATAATCCAGATCGCCAATGAGAGACCTTGGTAACCAGACTAGTGCGCGAATTCATTGAACCTGGTACCGTGATCATTTCTGACAAGCTCTTGCCATCCACACAGCAACACCATAGAGGAACTCTGGAGTCAAGTGAAAAGGAAGCTGAGGGCGATGAATGGGACCGCGAAAGCCAAACTACTAAGTTACCTTGACGAGTTCAACTGGAGTAAACTTCATCCAGAGGCAAGGCAGGGAGACAGATTCAATCACATGTTGTCCCACATAGCAGAGATTGTTCCACCGAACCAAGTTCATTTAGTTCAAGCCTAAACAAACGGCTCCTCTAAGAGCTACCAAATAAAATAAAAGTCAATGACCAAGGTGTTGATTTCTTTTGCAAATAAAATAAGATGAAGTCCAATAAAACGACAAAAAAAGGTATACTTTCATATTTTAATTGTCAAAATACACCAAAAAGGACAATGATCACAACCTGTTACAAGAAAAGAAAGCTTAATCAGACATACACGAAGTATTGTAAACTATGGTTTTGCAATGCATTTTAGGGCGATTGAAAACTTCCTTTTTGCTACCTAGCAAACAAGCCTATTTTCGTGTAAAAATACAAGTCAGGAAGTAGTTAAATACAAAAGTTGATATGTACAGCCTGGTTAACACTGTCAGCTGGCTGTCAGTAATGTGTTGGTAATGTGTCATTAACACGTCGGCGGACAGTTGACCAACAGGTTACCAACAGCCAAACGTGGTAGTTATTGTTCACTTTTACCCATTCTGTAATCTTCTCCAAGTCTAGACCATAACACTGTAGACAATCCTTTCATTCAATTTTCCCTATGTTATGATTTTGAAGGTATTTTTCCCCTGCCCATTTCTTGGTGTGTGGAGACCATGGCTATGTATGCATGATTGTCTTATATTAGTGAGATTACCGTAATAAAGTTTTGAAGATCCTCATCATTATTCAAAGCTGATAGCAATGCTTGCTAATCAAGCAAAGAATATTCAACTATAGGGAGTTATTAGAGATGTGCAGTAATACATCATCATAGAATAATGTATTTTATCCAATGCTACTGTCCGTTTTTGATGGTAGAATCTGGATTAAAGCAATGAAATATACAGGCCATCACAATCCTTGTGTGATCAAACTATTGTTGAAATATCATATTTGCACAATAACCAACTACTAATTTCTTAAGTGCCTGTGAGTGCACGAAAAAATATTTTCTGCTCTCCCCAAAGTTTATTAACATGGTGAGAAAATTAAAAAGTTCTACCTTTTGTCATATTACGTCATACCACGCGCTCCCATCGGACCTGTGGGAAAAAACGTGGTATCGAACCCGCCATTTTGATTTCGCCCATGTTGTCATGTAGTAGCTGTTGCGTTATTGAATAAAGAGTTTAAATGGAAAAATTGTGACATGGATGTCGGAAGTGGGATAGATTTACACCAATAGAGGAATTCTCGCTAGAACAACCAAGAAAACCGGTACGTACGATTTTACAGTGTTTACTACAAAGTCCTGTCTTATCGTGCAATTTAGCCAAAAATGAGCGACTTGGTTGGGTTTGAAGTACCAAAAATGGACTGGACCCTGGCCCAGATTTATTAACTAGATTCAAGAGATTCCGCCAAAAGTGTGAACTGCTACTTGATGGACCGTTAAAAGCTCGAGACAGCACTCAAAAAATGCAAATATGTGCTACTATGGTCAGGCGATTACGGAATAGACTTATTTAACACTTGGTCGCTAACCGAAGACCAACAAAAAGACCTGAAAGAATACTGGAAAAGATTCGAAGACCATGTTAAACCACAAGCAAACCATATCTTGAACAGATATTATCTACGAGGTCTGAAACAGAATAATCGTCCCCTAGCCACCTTCCTGACTGAAGCAAGGCTACTCATACAGAGCTCAGGTTACCCACCTGACTTACATGACGAACTCATGCGTGACACATTAGTTTTCGGCACCGATTCGGAAGAGGTCAGACGAAAATGCATTGCCCGCGGTAATGAATTAACCTTTGCAAGGGCAAAAGAAATTGCACGAACTGATGAGGCTACCCAGATGCAATTAAAAGCAATGAGTGACACTACAAACCCAAAGCAAGAAGAAGGGGAAGTCAATGCAATCAGCAGAGGAAACAAGCCCAGAAACCAGCCCCACCAAAGGTACACCAGTGGTAGAGGAAACAGACGACGTGACAACAACCTAAGACAGTGCTACAGATGTGGAGACACACCACACACCAAAGACCAGCAGTGCCCAGCCACTGGAGTAGAATGCTTCAACTGCAACAAACGCGGTCATTTTAGCAAAGTTTGCAAGTCTAAAACAAGGTCAGATGTGATGACCCTACAAAAGAACAACCTGATGGTGTAACAAGTGAATGCACAAGCTACGACAAAGTCTTCCTGGGAACACTAGAAGCCCGAGACAGCCCCAGTACCTCAATGATCGCAAGCATTGAACAAAAGAAAAACAACGCACCAAAGTCACGACTGAAATACAAGTCACGGTAGACCCCCATGATACACACCTGATACCTATTATCTGCAAGGTCGACACTGGTGCAGAAGTTAATGTCATCTCCAAAGACGACTATGACAGACTCAACCGCAGTTCCCAGCAGATACCCCTTGGCCCAACACACCACAGGATTACTGCGTATGGAGGCCACGCCATCAAGACCCTTGGAACCTGTCCACTATACGTCCATCAAAATGGCAGCATTAAAGAAGTCGTTTTCAATGTTACTGACGTACCAGGACCTACAATGCTTGGCTGTAAAACCTGCGAGGAACTTGAGCTGGTAAAATTTAATTGCAGCCTAGAAACCTCCAAAGAAGACAAAGAGACCCGCCTTAAAGAACACAGACCATGCAAACCGTACCAAAGGACCAGCAGATACCCTAGCCGTCTAGACACTGAAACATACCCCCCACTGGACAGGATAACCTTCTTCAACAACTTCGGAGACTGCTTTGAAGGCCTGGGAACCTTCAATATGAAACCTTATCACATCACCCTAGACTCCAATGCTGAACCTGTCATCCACGCACCACGTACCGTACCAGTACACCTTCGAGACATGTTTAGAAAGGAAATCAACACCATGGTAGAACTTGGAGTGCTCATACCCGTAAGCGAACCCACAGACTGGGTTAATAGCATCGTCCTCTCTGAAACAACCAACGGCAAAGGAGAAGTCACCAAAATCAGAGTCTGCCTCGATCCACGTGACCTAAATAAGGCAATAAAACGCGAACACTACTACACCAAAACAATTGATGAGGTAGTCACACAGCTTAGTGGTGCCAAATTCTTTAGTGTAGTTGATGCCAAAAAGGGCTACTGGCATGTACCATTAGACGAAGCCAGCTCCTACCTGACTACTTTCAACACCCCGTTCGGGAGATACCGTTTCACCTGGCTCCCCTTTGGCCTTATTGTATCACAAGATGTGTTCCAGAAACACTTAGATTCAGCACTGGAGGGCCTGAAAGGAGTCACCGGCATTGCAGACGATACATTCATATACGGAGCTACAGAGGAAGAGCACGATGCGAACATGGTAAACCTCATGATCAGATCCAGGGAAAGGGGAATCAAATTCAACAAAGACAAAGTACAGCTCAAATGTCAGGAAGTCAGCTTTTTCGGCCACAAATGGACCCAGGATGGAATCAAACCAGATGACAGTAAGATATCTGCAATCCAGAAGATGACCCCACCTGAGAACCGCAAAGACCTCCAAAGCTTCTTAGGCCTCGTAAACTACCTTACAAGATACTCAGGGCGATTGGCTAGCCTCACAGCACCACTGCGAGAACTTACCAAGAAGGACACCGCATATGTATGGGGACCTGAACACGACGACTCATTCAACCAAGTCAAACAGGAAATCACATCAATGGGAGTCCTCAGATACTTTGACCCAAACATCGAGTCTGTCATTCAAACTGACGCTTCCCAGAAGGGAGTAGGCGCCGTCCTTTTGCAGCAGGGGCAACCTGTATGCTATGCCTCCAAAGCACTTACAGACACAGAAAAAACTACAGCAACATTGAGAGAGAAACACTTGGTGTAGTATGGGGCCTAGAGAGATTTAACTACTACATTTTTGGGAAGCACTGTACAGTAAACACTGACCATAAACCTCTTGAGGCGATTTTCAAGAAGCGACTGTCCAGTTGCCCACCTAGATTACAGAGGTTCTTGATGAGAGCCCTGAAATACGACGTTACGGTCAACTACGTAAAAGGTCCTGATGTACCAATAGCCGACGCTCTCTCAAGAGTCAGCCCCCAGCCTACCCCTAGCAGCAGTCAACTTTCAGAGATATATGTCCACCACGTCACACAACATCTCCTGCAACTCCAACAAAGCTACAACAGATCCGTGACGAAACAGGGAGGGATCCTGTGTTGTCTCTGTTAAAAGAAATGGTCTTTGAAGGATGGCCACAGAAAAGAGAAGAGTGCCCCCAACTGCTACATGGCTATTGGAATTTCAGAGAAGAGCTGACCATCGAGGACGGCTTAGTACTAAAAGGAGACCGCATCGTGATACCTCCTACTCTCAGACCTGAAATCCTGAACATCATACACCAAGGCCACCTAGGGCAAGAGAAATGCCTTTTACGAGCACGTACATCCGTTTTCTGGCCTGGAATTACAAAGGAAATCATCAACCAAGTTAACCAGTGCGAACCCTGCCAGAAATACCAAAAATAAAGCAAGGAAAGAGCCAATACTACAGCCAGAACCGCCACACCGACCATGGGAAAGACTCAGTTCGGACTTGTTCGAATTTAGAGGGCAACAATACCTCCTGTTGACAGATCAATACAGCAGATTTCCTGTCATCAGGAGACTAACAAGCACCACGTCATCTGCAGTTATCAACCATCTGAAGAGCATCTTTGCAGAACACGGCATCCCTACGCAGTTGACGACCGACAACGGACCGCAGTACAGTTCGGCAGAATTCAAGCATTTTATGAACGTCTACGGGGTAGAACACATTACTAGCTCCCCTATACCCCCAGTCCAACGGGTTTGCTGAGCGAATGGTCCAGACCGTGGAAAACATTCTCCAAAAAAGTGCGATGAAAATAAAGAGGACCCGTACCTTGCTCTCCTATCATACCGGGCCACTCCCTTGGATCACCAGCTGAAATCCCCAGCAGAACTGCTCACCAACAGAAAATTTAAAACTAGATTACCAGCATGCCATAGAGTCCTCCTCAACCACTCTCACCATGAGGTCATGAAAAGTAAGCTCATAGCCCGTCAGGAGAAACAAGCCCACTATTACAACCAGCATTCAGGACCACCCAAAAAGCCATTCGAAGCTGACCAACCCATCCGCACGTACAACCACCACTCACAAACCTGGGAACCTGGCATTATTGTAAAACCCGCCAAACAGCCAAGATCTTACATCATCAGGTCCAGCAGTACAGGTACCACCTATCGAAGAACACGGGCCCAACTGAAACCAGACACAACTGCAGTGAGGGGAACACAATGCCAGCGGGTGGAAACCCCAGTATACCAAGGTTCTGAGATACCTCAGCAGACAACTAGTCTTGCCCCAGTCAGTCACACACAGACATCGCACAAAAACGGTGCAGCCCCCAGACCAGGATCTGGCGAAACAGTGCCACTGAACAACATCCCCCAGGGACCCTCAGACATAGCTGGAGGATATGTGACCAGATCTGGGAGGACTGTGACACCTGCACAAAGGCTGGATCTATAACAGTAGAGACACTAAAGAATAGACTTATAAGTATAAGCACAGGAGGGATATCCTTTCAACCAGTATTGTAATGTTCTGGAGATATGATAAGTTCCATTTTTTTTTTTTTTTGTCGTTATTATTATTATTACATCGGTAGAAAGGGGGATGTCATATTACGTCATACCACGCGCTCCCATCGGACCTGTGGGAAAAAACGTGGTATCGAACCCGCCATTTTGATTTCGCCCATGTTGTCATGTAGTAGCTGTTGCGTTATTGAATAAAGAGTTTAAATGGAAAAATTGTGACACCTTTGGTTTTGCCTGCAAGGTATAGATAAGTTAATGAAAATTAATATACTCTTTACTCCTGTCGTGTAGCACTGACAAGACAAAAGTTATTTATAAAGGGAATTGTGGTTGCGTTTGATTAGAAGTATATTCTCTACTGATCATCAAATCATTTTCGACTGTGTTGAAAAAAATAAATCAATTAAGGAAAAGGTTACACAAAATATGTAATAAGTAAGTAAGAATTAAAGAAAAATGATAGGTGTTAACTAATAAATTACAAGAATAGTAATAGAAAAAACTGGCCTACGAAATAGGGAGGCTACCAATTTCTAGCAGTTTGATTTTTTAAGGTAGGAAACACTTAACTAAACCTCTCCATGATGCTCACCTCCGTGTTTACACATCTAAATGCAAACAGTCTCATTTCACATCGCTTGTGGTGATTTGTTTGTATGTGGGGAACATCATATTTATTAAAAGAATGACAGTCAAGCTATAGAAATAAGCAATGTCAAAGACAAAAAGTCATCTGAAAACCAAAAATGCTTCAACAAACTACAGTTCATTAACATATTAATATTTACATATATCATCTTGCAATATCTATAACAGACATATTCGTAAGCTCCTAACTAATAACTAAAGCACTACAGCTAGGAAATACAAAAATAGGAGGAAAGAGGTAAAAGGTACACATCACACTGGAAAAATGTAGTCAGAGATGGTGGCTTTAAATTTTGCAGTTGAATCCAATGTTAAATAATCAGGTGGCAGGCTATTCCAGTTAGTGATAGTTCTCAGCCAGAAGCTCTATTTGTACGTGTCACGGGATGGCTGAAGTGGGATAAATTTCAGTGGATGAGATGGTGTATGAGATGGTTTTTAGGGAAGACTGAAGATGTACATTTGTACATCAGTGTCAGTCTAGCTATTTGTCTTCTTTTTTTGAGAGTTGGCCAACTAAGTTGCTTTAGAGCATTGATTACGCATCCATTCCCCCTTGTGTAAGTTCTTGTTACGAAATGTGCTGCCCTGTACTGGACCTGTTCGAGCCATAATTTCTGAGATGCTCTATGTGGATCCCACACATTACAACCATATTCCAACATTGGTCTCACTAGCAATTTTTAGGCCTGATCTTTAACCTCCTGTGGGCAATGATGCAAGTTCCTCTTGACAAAGCCAAGTGTTGAATTGGCTTTGTTTGTAATGTTCAGGATATATGGCTTCCAGGTTAGGTCCCCTGACAGAGGAACTCCGAGTTAAGAATAGTGGTCTACAGCCTGTAGGGTATGGCCGAGCATAGTGTATGGGTGTATAAAAGGACACTTGCTTTTGCAAACGCGTACAACATATCATTTGGATGGATTGAAGGCCATTTGCCACATCTTCGCCTATACAACTAATTTGTCCAGATTAGATTGGACACTGATTGCATCATTGGAATTGTGTACCAGACCATACAACAGGGGGTCATCAGCAAATAACTTAATATTGGAGGTAATATCCTCCAATATTACTCCAGCAAAGAACACGGAGCTAAGTAAATATTATGTACACATCTGTGAATAATGTGAAGATCTTTCATAACACACAATAATTTTCAGTAGAAGTTGACCTCAACAGTGGTGAGAGAAGGTATCCCCTTGTGTTTCCTCCTCTGATGGTGCGCAGTTGGTTGACTCATGCAAGAATGGAGTGGATATTGGAACTTGATACTTCAGATCTGGACACCAGAAGACTTGTATAAAAAAACTCCAACTAGCTTCGCTATCATAGTGGGGCACCTTTGTACAGCTCTTTGGTTAACTTTTTCTGACCCAGTGGCCCTGAACAGCAGTGGTAGGTGATGTGATTTGGCTTCTCACAGTTGTAACGATTTCCATGCAAACTACTCGCTTGGTTGAGCAGATGCTGATTGTCTGTTCAATTTTACTCCACTGTTTTTAGACTGCTTATTGCTTTTTTCACGTATTTAATGGACTTCTGTTGCTTAAGAAACATGTCTAGGACCTGTTGGAATGGGTTTGGATTAATTGAGTAATGCTCTTGGAATTTCAACAGCAATTTACAACGATAAATCCGTATATGTAGCACAAGTGAAGCACATTTTAAACTTTCCATACAATTTTAGGAAACTATATTTAATTTACTCTCGGTAAA